GATCATACACACACCTGAATAATATCTGTTGTAGATACCATAAAATGTTCTGTAATACTACAGTATTAATGTAGCAGTGGTGTGTATTGTTAATTCCAAATAGTAGAAACTATACAGGAAGTATAAAAGAAAAAAGTTTTCTTGCCTGTTTGTGTGGGGAAAGTTTTTGTGTTAGACCTGACTTGGAAAGTTCAGCCAGCTTCATGTTTAAAAAAAAAAAACACCTCAGCCTCCCCTTGAGGAGGGGGGCAATTATAAAACACTTACAGGAGACAAGTCGAGTCTGTGCTCTCTGCTCGTAGTCTGCACAGTTAGGCAGCTGTTGGAAAGAAAGTGTGTAGCTGTAAAATGGAGCTGTGTTTTTTAAAAACTTATTGCAGTAAGAAACCCGAAGTAAAAAAAAAAAAAGAGGGTATTCTTCCCTGCTGTTTCAACTGACAACTCGTGTCTGGGCCCTTTTTGTGCAGCCTGTTAGGCTGTCATGCGAGGAAACTTCTCAAAAATATATTGCATTATTCAAAGTACCACGGTCCCAAAGCTCTAACCTAATATTTCACCATCCATCATGATCTGCTTACTTTTCTCATCACTGCTGCCAGCTCAGTGCTGTCAAATAGAGTTAGGCTGGCTTGTGAATGACATCATTTTTTGGCTCAGTTTCTGGGTTTTATTATAGGCCTCCTTCTATTATGAAGCACCTGTACTGCAACTGTATTCTTTTCTCGGCTTGAATTACTACTCATCTGAGGTTAGAGTGTAGAGGTTCCTGTAAATTACATATAATAAAGCTGCAGCATATTTACTCTTTGTTAAAATTGAAAGTTTTTTTTTTTTTGCATTATATGCTACAAAAATGACTGCCATTGTATGCCAGAATCACAGTGAAGATGATATTTCAGACACAGATTTAACTCGTTTACAACTTCCTTCATTATATTATAGTGTTATATTTAACACTGCATATACATTTACACTTTAAATCCCAGACTTTTTCTACACTGAAGAGTATAATTAATGACCTTTTAAGGGATAGTTTAGCTCTTTGGAAGATGGCTTGTGTGGATTAGTTATGAACAAATACTTCTCTGAATTTTATTGTTTTGGAGAAATAATTTATTTCTGACCAGACTAATGAGCTAACGACCAGTTCATATAGTGGCCAAGACCAAAGGTGTTTTGAAATATCATCACTTCTAAATATTTCATAGTGATTAATGCATACATTGTTTCATTTACCTTTACACCATCAGTTTTATAATAATTGACTTAAATTTACTTTAAATTCTGTGTTACTTTTTATATTTCAACTGGAGCAATTGTGTAATGTAAATTTAATGACATTATAAAGTTTTTCAGTTAGCTTTCACACAAAACTTTTGAGATTGGAATTGTTAAAAAAAGTTAGCAGCCAGTTTTCACAGTGTTGGACTAGCCATTAGCTCATCATTCTATTGAAACTTAAATGTGTTCTGCAAACTGAGATTGTTAAGAGAACTGTGTACAACGGTTAAAATGTTATTTAATTATAAGCATTCCTCAGAACAATCTGGACTATGCTTGATAATTACTTTTGTTTACCGTACAGTGGGTATAAAAGAAGTGTACAGTGGACGTGAAAGAGCTGTATGGTAGACATAAAAAATGGTAAAGGGGACATAAAATTGTACTGTGAACATAAAATAACTGTACAGTAGACACGAAAGAACTGTACAGTAGACACGAAAGAACTGTACAGTAGACAGAAGAACTGTACAGGGGACATAAAATAACTAAAGTGGACATGAAAGAACTGTACAGTAGACATAACAGTACAATGCTTTTAAGTCAACTGTACAATTTTTGACAAAAGAACTGTACCATTGACAAAATAAATGTACATTAGACAGAAGAAACTGTACAGTGGATAGAATTGCACAGTATACATAAAATACGTAATTATACAGTAGACATAAACGAACTATACAGTCAACATAAGAGAATTGTACAATATGCATAAAAAAACTACAGTGGATATAAAATAACTGTACAGTAGGCATAAAAGAACTGTACAGTGGATATAAAGAACTGTACAGTGGATATATAAAGAACTGTACAGTGGATATAAATAGAACTGTACAGTACAAATAAAAGAACTGTACAGTACACATAAAAGAACTGTACAGTAGACATACAGCGGGTAAAATAAGTATTGAACACATCACCATTTTTCTCAGTAAATATATTACTAGAGGTGCTAATGACATGAAATTTTCACCAGATGTTGGTAACAAACCAAGTGATCCATACATACAAAGAAATCAAACCATAAATGTCCAGAAATGAAGTTATTTGTAATCATGTGGAATGACACAGAGAAAAAGTATTGAACACATGAAAAAAGGGAGGTGTAAAAAGGCATGGAAAGCCAAGACACCAGCTGAACTCTCTCAGTAATTAGAAAGCAAGCCTGCCCCTTGTCAGTGCAAGTTAATATCAGCTGGTTCAGTCCCAAATGATGGCCAGGTATCACACAAGAACCATCTGATGATGGGTAAAAGTAAAGAGCTCTCTCAMGACCTTCACAACCTTATTGTTGCAGCGCCTTGGCTTCTGAATAAATGAAAATGATTTAACACAGTTGTTTATACATTTAGCAGCTCTTTTTTATTCCACAGCTGTCCTGCTAAAAATGACAGATTTTCTTTTCTGGATCTCTGACAGACGGACTTCAATCTCTGAACTCGTAAAGTTCCTTTTAGTTTTCGCTGTCATTTTCATGAATGGACACTTCCTTGTAGCTGAGGCAGGAATCATAGCCTTATATGGTGTTTTTGGGGTGGTAATTATGCTAATCTCCTCTCGCGTGCACGAGCAGCTGGAAAGAACAGGTGTAATTTATGCAGCTCATTTACACACTTTTCCTGAAGATAGAAGAGTTTGTTGAATCTGACGTGACATGTTCGTACGAACCCTTTTACGAACAAAAGTAAGAGAAATTTAGGATAAGAATACGAACATGTTCTTGCATGAGGCCCAATGAGCCCAAACACAAAGTCAAGGAAACTCTCAATTGGTTTCAGAGAAAGAAACTGAAGCTGCTGGAATGGCCCAGCCAATCACCTGACTTGAATCCAATAGAAAATTATGGAAAGAACTAAAGATCAGAGTTCATAGAAGAGGTCCATGAAACCTTCAAGATTTGAAGACTGTTTGTGTGGAAGAATGGGCCAAAATCACACCTGAGCAATGCATGCCACTAGTTTCTCCATACAGGAGGCGTCTTGAAGCTGTCATTGACAACAAAGGCTTTTGTACAAAGTATTAGATAAATTTCAGTAAGTGTGTTCAATACTTTTCCCTGTGCCATTCCACATTATTACAAATAACTTCATTTCTGGACATTTATGGTTTGATTTCTTTGTATGTATGGATCACTTGGGTTGTTACCGACATCTGGTGAAAATTTCATGTCATTAGCACCTCTAGTAATATATTTACTGAGAAAATGGTGACGTGTTCAATACTTATTTTACCCGCTGTGAGAGAACTGTACATTTGACATAAAAGAATGGTTTGGTGTTTGGAAAGAGATTTTGATTCCAGTATGTCACAGCCCACTTTCAGTACACTGCTAGAAAAGGATGAATTGGCCCTTTGGGGAAAGTAGTATTGACCTCTACTCATCAGTTCACAAAGGTTAACAGCTTTGGCAGAGGAGTTAGAGCTGCCAGGGTGAGTCACACTTTCAAACATGACTGAGTCATCGGGCGACGGGATGGAGCGGAAAGAAAAGGATTAGCCGTGACAGTGTACAGAGGTCGTGACGGAGGAAATGAAGACATGCAAAATAATTTTAAAAAATATTGAAAAATACAGAGATAGAATACTCTGTTATTTTCCACGGACATCCAAACAGCATGTTATTGTTGGCTAAAGTTGTGGAAAAGTTCCAGTTTAAGTCCTGTTAAAGAAAAGAAACTTTTTTTTTGAAGAAGTGGGAGAACTTTGAATTGAGTGATTCATCTCTAGTTTCACTATGACAGTAACAGGGAAAGGGGGATGAGGAGGAGGGGGAAATCACCAGACTTTTGAGCACACTCACACAAGGTCATACTTTGTGTTGAATCACAGCTTTATTTTGACTGACATTAAGGGGGCGCTGCCTTCAACATTAGTAGTCCCAAGCTGGTTCGATTAGCCAGAATCAATGAAAGCCAGTGTGTCATTTCAGATCCACTGAGCAGAGGAAGCCGGGACTTAATTCAGAGCGTTTTTGACCCTTCCAGGCACCGGTTTAAATTTGTTAGAACCTAAAAGTGTGTGTGGTTAGGTGAAGTGTGCACTGATGCGTTTTGATTTTATAAATTATCGAAGCTTGAGCTACTTTACAGTGCTGTCTGCTTTAAAAACAGAGCAAAAATAAGTATGGATTGTACACATTAGTTTTTTGATTTGTGTTATAAACAGGTGACACATTACAGGCCACATTTAATGATAAGTCAAAAATACTATGAACCTAAGTTTAGACATTGTTTTTGCACTTTTTATTTTAACTTTGGTTTCATTATACAGTTTTATTTTTTGTCTTCTCTTGTCCAGATTTGTAATAAAAACTGAAGAAGAATATTTCTCTTTTATGCACAGGTTATAACACAATTTTGTTGGACTGTGAATGTGTGCGTTTGGACAGTTTTTGTTATACCATGAACAAATTTAATCAAAGGTTCCCACCAATTAGCTTTTATAGATTTACAGTGATGTTGACACCACTGTCTGTGTTTAAATTCTAAGTTTTTAAAAACATAAATAAAGATAGATAGAAAACTCTTTGATTTGTATATTTTGCTTCTTACAGAGCGTTGCCTAGAGGACCATGAGTTGGTGGTTCAGGTGCAGGCCTCCATGAACAGCGACAGTAGATTTCTCTTCAGGAAGAACTATGCCAAATATGAATTCTTCAGAAACCCTCTGGTTAGTGCACTTTGTTAATATTATTAATAGGCTCCATAAAAAGAAAGGGTATGAGTGTTGTTCTGTCTGTCAGCAACACACAAACGTGGCATTAACTCAGTCAGCTTTATAAATATTGAGCTAAAATCTGGTAAAGTATTCGCTGAGGGTCGTCCCTAACAAAAACTTTGAGCACTTAAAGATCCTGTGAGTTTTTTAACTACAATTTTAGCACTCAAAATGGCAAGCAATATGATTTTTATAATTGCTAAACAGGACCTGGGGCAACCCCATTTTTCTAAGCAAATTATTTAAAAAGGTATTATTGTACTATATTCCAGCAAATCATATAAAGGAGGAGGGAATATTAGACATTAGCTGATGTAATTATAATATTTCCTGTGTAATACCACCTGTTGAGACAAGCACAAAGCACCTGTCTTTGTTTGGCGCTCTTGTGAAATATTTCGACAGCCGACTGCACGGGTGACAGTTGGCGTGACGTCTGCATCTGTCCCAACATTCCCGCCCTGTAATTATTGTCGCAGTTTCTGACATGTCACCTTCCTCCTCCGCCAGACGTTTTTCCCGGAGCACATGGTTGCGTGGTGCCAGGAAACCAATCACACAATTCCACCCTCTCAGCTCCTCCAGGTACGCACCTCTTTTTTTTTTCTTCTCTTTCTCTGTCCTTTGTTTTTGGCTCAGATTGTCACTGCTCTTCCCTACGCACACACACGCAGTTTAGTTTCCCTCCGAGTCAGCACCTGCTACATTACAATCAGGCTGGCATACCTCACCCCTGACCCTTAGACAGTGTGTCTCGTCTGAGCCGGCGGTAATAACTACTGTTGATCCCCTGTTGACACGTAACTGTCTTGGTGCATGCACCGCAAGCCGAGCGCCCGTGATGGATGAAATCAGGCAATATAAAGCAGAAAATCTTCTCCCCTTACTTCAACGGTTATTTAAAACACATGTGCACATGTGTGAAGTATTTGCAACGACCTGTCTCCTTCTCTGGATTTAGAGGAGTTATTGAATAAAAGGAGGTCTAAATGCAGTTTAGATGAAATCTCGGCTCATTTAATGAAGCTGTCAGAGACAGAGCCGCGGCTGGTATCCGTCCATCTCGCAGAAAGCTTTTAATCCCACCCTCCCCCTTCCCTCACAATCATATAGACGTGGCATTTTTTTATTTATATTCGTAAAGGGATGAGCTGGATTCGTGTCAGGAATTCCCTCTGTTTGACTTCTTCTAAATATGAAATCTTTCCACTCAATTAGTCCAAACCGAGGCGCTTGCTGCGTTCAGCTCATCCAGGTGTTTGCCATATTCCTAAATTACGCAAGAACCATTTGTCAGCGCGTAGCGCAGCACGTATGATGGTGCTGTGGCCCAGAAAGAAGAGCCGTTTGAATTATCATAGCGTGTGAATGTGCACTCTGCGACTGTTGGAAAATGGATGAGGCCCATCGGGAGGTTTTTTTTTTTTTTCCTTCTTTCCAAAACACAGATGAACATGTGCTTCAAATATTGAAGAGGCTTCTGGAACAGTTTGTCTGTTGGCCACAAATCACAGCTCGGCATCGAATTTATTAACTCAACCCGCCACTTTGTTTATCAACCTAATCTGCCTTCCCATCTGGCCTTAGCGGTTTCAGAGCACGCCGTAACGTCACATGTCTTTGGGGTTGTTAAAGGACTGATTCTGACTTCGTTTGGATCACAAAGTGAAATCTGCTCTCGAGTCCCATTCAGTTTTCTTGTCAGCCTCATGTGAAGCTGACAGGGTGTGAGCGTGGAGTAAATAAAAACACTGTACCATGGAGCGTCAGGTTGTCTGTTGTGTCTGTCAGGGATGGGCAATTCAAGCAAAAATACTCAAATTTGTCAATAATTATTACATTTTTTCTACAAAATATTTGACCTTCCACTCCAACCAATCTGAAGACCAGCATGCAGCAAGTCACTCTCACCAAAATAAAAGCTCAACAACAAATTGTTTGAAAACAGAAAGCAATCTTAACTAGAGAAATTGCATTTCCTGCCAAAAATGCAGTGATTGTGTAATGCTGAAAGATTTTTGCTGTAATCTGCTGAAGAAGCTGCAATGGTTTATTAGCAAAACTGTTAATGCAAGTTCAGTTTGAACAGCTGACTTTTGCTGAAAGTAGGACAACAAAAGTGAGAAATCAGTAGAAACAGTAAAACAATTGGAAAAGAGCTCAAATTTGCAAAAAGCAGCTTAAAGCAGATGAAACATGTTAAAACCAAGACAGGAGGAAATAAGAATGGGAGTTTTCAAATCAGCAAAAATCAAGAAAAGTACTTGCAATTTGCTTTGAAATACCTAAAAAGCTGAAACTAGACCAAAAATAGCTTAAAATTAACTGTAATAGCTACAGTTGGAACAAAGAAACCAAAAGAGCACATTTGCTGAATTAAGAAGTAAGAAGCTGCAATGATCAACAAAAGGTGAATTCAGCTGAAACATGCTAAATTAGCTAAAAATTAGCATAAACACAGAAAATAGTTGAAACTAGAAAAAAGCAATTGAAAGAAGAATACAAACCTTAATTTAGCAGAAAGAAGCTAAAAGAAGCACAAAGTTTAAATTAGCATGTTTTGAAATATAAATTGTTGAAATAGCTCTAGACTTGTGGATTATGTAGATTGTGTGCCGAAAAACGTACGGAAAAAATGCAAATGCTTAATATCATTCACACAACAAGTACTCATCTCAGCCACCGCTTTATGATTTAGGGCTGTTTTTGGTTTTATGTTTTTGCCTAAAAAAAATGTCCAGATCACAATGCGGAACTTGTTGTGAAAAAAGTCCTGCAGCTGAAAAATGAAACGGAGGCTTCAGGCACAGCGACACGTCCTGCTGCTTATCCTGATAACGAGGGATAATTATGTCCCTTCGTTTAAACCAGCTCAATGACTTAACGGAGAGGGAGGTGTAATTATTCTGACTGGAAAGCTGAGCTCACCTATGATCAAAGTTTCCACGTAATCATGCTTTCAAAATAAACTATGATGGCATAAATTGATGGCGGAGACGCTCTGAGTTGTTTCGGTTTTCTTTTTGTTGTTGTTGTGGAACGTGGAGTGGGCGGTAGGTGTTAACGAAATAAAAAGCACCCTGACTGGAAAAGCACTGTTAGGAAACAACTTGGATCATCACCACCATGTGCCAATGTAAAAGTAAAAATAGTAATAATAGTGGCATTATTTCTAATTTTCCCATTTTTAACTAAGCTTTGGCTACTGGAAAATCACTGCCTATCCCAAGTCTGGGTTGCTGTATATCTGCAGACAGGCCTCACTTTCTGCACCTGAAGGGCTTCTCATCTTATGTGACGGGTAATGCAGTAAAACATGGGTCTCATTTTTGTCTCTGCAGTAGTAGCAATACCAGCCAAAGTATTTTTTTTAATATGCCACATTGGTGACATAATATCAGAAATAAACCAAATTCAAAGTCTGGTGGCCTGAGAGGAATCATTTGCTCCAAAATGTGTCCAAAACCCATTTTTATTCATTTTAACGACCTGTTTTAATGATTTAATGACCTTTTCTCTTACTGAACCCATCGGCATCATGGGTAAGGAGATTCAAGTTGTGAAGCAGAGCAAGTGCTTAAGGCCAAATCTCACCTCACCTCTTCCCTTTACTTTAAGCCCCGGCCCTATATTATAGGAGCTCCCGCTGTGGGGAAACGTGCCCAGATCATTTTTTGTGATGAAAGTGAAGGCGCAGAGTTGGGCTTTCAGGCTCTTTAGACAGATATTTTTCAAGGGCATACTTTGAAACAAAAGTGGTATGAGCTGCAGTTGCAAAAAGATTTCACAAGTTTTAGTGCTTTATTTGTTTTATGGGCACAAAATGTAATGTTGGCTTTGATGTGTTTTGGTGCTTTCTGTTTTGAAGTCATTGTCAATTTCTTTATTCATACAAATAGCCAAAAAAGCATTAAACACTTCACTTAACTAGTTGTATTAACTATGTAAATAGTACATATTAATGTTTAACATAATTGCTACTATTGTTAAACATTAATTATTGTCTATTCACTTTCTGCAGACTTTATCGGGTTTTACCCGATGTATGTGGATATATTGACGTTGGCTTTGTTTCCAACAAAAGAACTGATGCAAAGACGAGCCATATTGTGGATTTAGCCATCCACTTCCTGTAGCAATGTGAATGTTTAGAAATGAAACTGAACTGCAAAGTGATTGGCTCTTGTCTGTAAGTCCTCTGCAGATGGTGCCGGCTGCAGTTTTCAGTCACTGGCTGAGACACTGATGAAGAGCCTATTATAGGCTTCAGATGTTTCCTGAGGCAAAGTTTTTTTTGTTCTTGTGGAATAATTGCATTTTAAATGATTTCTGATTCCCTTTTTCTTTTTTTTTTTTCAGAACTTTCTTTCAACCAGCAGCTGTCCAGAAATCCAGGGTTACTTGTACATGAAGGATGTGGGGCGGAAGTCGTGGAAGAAAGTTTACATGTTCCTGCGTCGCTCAGGGTTATACTGCTCAACAAAAGGGACCTCAAAGGTGACAGCAAGTTCATTTCCCTCCCATTATGAGGAGACAGCTTATTTCAGATTAATTATCTTCAGAGAATAATCCTGTTTTTGATGTTCTTCTCGCTGCACACGTCAGTAAACCCTCGGGCTGCTTTGCCCTTTCATGTTTTGACTCCTTAATTATTTCTGTCTCCAGGAGCCCAGACATTTACAGTTACTAGCAGACCTGGAGGACAGCAACATCTTTTCTGTCATCGCAGGCAAAAAGCATCACAGTGCGCCCACAGACTACGAGTTCTGTATCAAGGTGAGTCTCGGTTAGCAAGTGTGTGATAAAACTAATCTTAAACATTATTAGAGAAATTGCATTTCCGGTGAAAATGCAATGTGAATGCTTAATGCTGAAAGTTGTTTGCTGAAATCTGCTGAAGAGGTTGAAAAAGTTTAATAGGAAAACAGTTTAATTTGAACAGTTGACTTTTGCTGAAAGTAGGACAACAAAAGTGAAAAATCACTTTAAGGATAGACAAAAAAGTCAAAAAATCTGAAACGAGCTAAAAAAGTAGCCACAATTTGCAAAAAGAAGCTAAAATTAGATGAAGCAAGTTAAAATTAAGGCAGACGAGGAAATAAGAGTGTAAGTTTTCAAATCAGCGAAAGACAAAAAAATAAAAAGTTCTTGCAATTTGTTTTGAAATAGGTAAAAAGCTGAAACTAGCCTAAAAATAACTAAAAAAGTAGCTGGAATAGCTAAAATGAGCAGAAAGAAACAGAAAGAGCACATTTGCTGAATTAAGCAGTAAAATGCTGAATGATCACAAAAAAGGTGAAATCAGCTGTAATTAGCTAAAAAGTAGCTATAAACAGAAAATAGCTTAAATTAGCAGAAAGCAGCTGAAAGGACAATTTCATTTAGCAGAAGAATACCAGAAACGGTCAGCAGGATGGCTAAAAAAAGCTAAAATCAACAAAACTGATGCTGATGGAAGCTGAAATTAACACAAAGAAGTGAAACAATGCAGAACTACAACAAATGGACAATAACAATTGCTGGACATTTTAAAATGCTTTAGGGATGTTGAAGACATTGTTCATTTTCGAAGGGGAAAAAATGGCGAGAAAAGCTAAATATAAATTTAAATATAAATACTGTATATTTCAAGTACAAATTGCTGAAAAACTGACAGAAGAAAAAAATATGATCTGAATAATGTGAATTCTTAGCAGTCACAGACGTTGAGAAAGAAGATTCAGATTTATTTATTTATTTATTTTAAATGTTTTATTCTCTTTTTATGTTTCAATGTATTATAAATGTGTTAGGTCTAATAATAAAGACCCAAATGACAGGGTCGGTGTATTTATCAGCGCAACGTGTAAAAAATTGGACATCTGTTCTTAAAACTGCAAACTGTTCACTTGCAGCCCAATAAATGCCGGGGGGAAATGAAGGAGCTGAGGATGTTGTGTGCAGAGGATGAGCAGAGTCGAACCTGTTGGATGACTGCTTTCAGAGTCTTTAAGGTAACATTGAGAATGTCTGAATCCCTCAGCTTGAACAGTTCTCACTAAATCACACTGCAGCTCGTAAATCTTATAGCTGCAAAAGTCTAGTTAAGGAAAGTTATATCAAAATTTACCTAATTTGAAGATAGTTTGCTTGATAACATTGTTTAATCCATTTATTTGTTTATTTATTTTTTTGTCTACAGTATGGGATTGTGTTATACCAGAACTATAAGGTCCCTCAACAAAGAAAAACCCTACTCTCTCACTTTTCAACTCCTGTGGTGAGTTTATTTTACTGGATCCAGATTAGTGCCCAACTTTTAATCATTGTTTTTGCAATCTTTGACACATCGACAGCGTTGTGCAGAAACACTGGTAGCAAGTGTGAAACACAAATCCTCATTCTGACCATTGTATGTCTCTGGCTCCCCCTAGAGGAGTGTATCTGAAAACTCCCTTGTGGCGATGGATTTCTCCGGGAGGATAGGCAGGGTGATCGACAACCCGGTGGAAGCTCAGAGCGCTGCCATGGAGGAGGGACTCGTGTGGCGGGTGAGACACAGCTTCAGGTTTCATGTTCCCACTCGTACAACCCCTAAAAACTCCACAAGATGACAATTTCTTAAGCTTTGTCCTGTCTCCGTGGCTTCTCTTCCAGAAGAGAACAAGAGTGAACTTGTTAGGTTCACACAGTCCCTTACACCACTCGTCACTAAGCTCGGGTAATTCTAAACACTCTTAGAATTAAAGCTGTGTTGGATTTCTAGCCGTTTGTTTCAGAAAAGTATTTTCACACCTTGCGTTCTGTCTTCTCCGCAGTCATTCACATAGCTCAGCTGTGGTTCTACGGCAGAATCACCAGAGAGGAGTCCCATCGCATCATCCACCAGCAGGGCCAGGTGGACGGGTAAGTCAGCCGAAGTCGTTCTCGCGTTCCCCAAACTTCCTGTGTGTATTTTAACTCTGCGTTTCTCACACCGACTCATCTCCTTTCTCCTGCTGTGAAGGTTGTTTCTGCTGAGAGTCAGTCAGAGTAACCCCAAGGCTTATGTTCTCACGTTGTGCCATCACCAGAAAATCAAACATTTTCAGATACTACCGGTAAGCATTCCCTGCTTGTAATTCATGTGTTTGGGGAAAGAATTTTTTTTTTAAAAAGTGGGGTTCTGTGGAAATGATGTGAACACTATAAATAATAAATATCTCACCTGTTGGCCTAAGATTTTGAATGGACTCAGTGTCGAGTGTAGATGTGAGAAGACTGATGAGCTAAGGGCTAGTCTGAGGGGAGCCAAGACCAAAGTATATCGCTGCTGTCCTAAAATATCCGTAGTCATCAAAATCTTACATTGTTTTGCATTACATGGTTATTCCAGCTCATTTTTCCTGGTGGAAGTCCTGCAGGCTCTAGTTGTGGTGGTACAGCCTGCTGCTGCCACCTATTTCTTAACTATTTATTCTACGTAAATAACAGCATAATGCAAAATTTGCAGCAATGTATGCTTTAGAAAATAAAGTTTGCATGAACATAAGGTTTTTTTTTAGAATAAAGTTGTTTAGATAGCAGCAGTTCACTTTGCTCTTGGTCTAGGGAAAAGGTCATCAGGGAGACATATAAAACCATGCAGGACACTGGGTCATGAGGAACAGGGTTGAAGCCATTAGCTTATAATTTGGTCTGATTTAAACTGTATTTCTTCAAATTGAGGTCGCTCAAAGGGCTATCTGCAGCAGATAGGTGTAGTATCTCACAGGGCTGAGACTAGCTGGCAACAGCCTTTGCAAAAAAAGAAATCTCCAAAACATCTTCAAATGTTTGCAGGGGTTACAGCTGCATTACAACGTGAGCAGCAACAGGCTCGATGTGGATGTGACCATCAAAATAATGGATGCGGCCAACAATACAGTTTAGAGAGCCTTGCACAAAATTGCACGCCCTTTTTTTTAGCTTGCTGCTAACTTGATAGCAAACACTCAGTGAGACTGCAACAGAAAATTTGCGTGTTTTTTTATTTTGTGTTGCCTTCTAGTCTCCAACAGCTGCAGTCCAGTGAGACACTGCCCTACAATATTATTTGCAGAGGAGTATAAAGTACTTGAAAATGTTAACTACGTAAAAGTAAATATACCTGAACAGAAAAGGATTTTGGTAAAAATGAATTTCACTGACAAGTAAAATAAGTCATAAAACTGCTCACAATAATCGAGAAAGTAAAATAAATTTACTTGACCAACTCAAATGGTTCCATTAAAAGAGTTAAGTAAATGTAAAGAGTGTAAAATTGCTCAATTTGCTCAACTCGGTTTAGTGAACCAGTTGACAGAACTTAAGTAAATGCAACGCTGCAATTTTTAGAGTGCATGAACAACACGTTTCATGGAGAGTACTGGTTATATTCATATTTGTAGCGTGTTATGAGGTATTAAATTCTAAAATATGTAAAATTATGTTTTTTACGTTTCGAATGTAACTAAATAAAACATGGTAAGAAGTACAGTAACAAGGTAAACGTACTTTGTTACTAAACACCTCTGATTATTTGTTCTACATCAAAAGATTTTAGCTGTCTGTTATATTATTGTGGCTGTTTTTCAAGCATGTTTTCCTTCTAATAAACTCTTTTTGTGTGTGTGTGTGTCCCTTTTGGTGTGGACTTCTTAACGATGCCAGTGTGAAGAGGACGGCCAGGTCTTCTTCAGCCTCGACGATGGTGTAACCAAATTCACCGACCTGATTCAGCTGGTGGAGTTCTACCAGCTCAACAGAGGGGTCCTGCCTTGTAAACTCAAACACCCGTGCACCGTCGTGGCCTTATGACGTCTTCGGACCGTCTGACCTCGTCTCCCCTCGGACACTTGACCTGACTCTGCCTGAAACAAACACAACGGGGGACGCACTCTGTTTGTTTTGCTCTTTCCAAGAAGCTGGTGAATTGACTGATGTTTGATTGTTGTCTTTTTTATTTTATTTTATTTTATTTTATTTTATTTTATTTTATTTTATTTTATTTTATTTTATTTTACCGTGAGTCTTTTGGAGACTGCTGCCCGGTTGGATTTGTTGTGATTTGCATGGAGGTTTTGAGGAAACTGATGCACAACTTGCTCGGGGAAGCTCTTTCCATTACAGAGACGATGAACGAAACAAACACTGCCACGTGTCTGAACGCTGTTTGCAAATTCCTCCACGACACCTTCTGTCACCGATAATGGCACGATGGGACCTCGAGGCTTTTGGAGTCTCGCAAAGACTTTATTCCTCCTCAAGCGGACAATCGGCAGGACGGTTGAATCTTTCACGTGGACCTCTCCGAAATCGTTTCTCACTCTGTAAAAGAAGAAAATCAGTTTTATTTTCTGTCGGTTCGCGCTCAACGAGGTGGGCGTGGCCTTGGATGGTGTGCGACAGCTCTCCTGGTGCATTACTTAACCCACACGGTGCCGTCACATTTTACCATTTAAAGCTTGCATCTACACGTCCGGAATTTACCATGGAACAGATTCAAATGCATCAGAAAGTCTTGATTTGAGTTTAAAAGAAAGAAAAAAGTAACTTTTTTAATGTTTTCACTCTATTAGATATGAATTCACTCAAGCTTTCTTTTCTCAACGATGCATTCGTTTAACTCTTCCTTTCTTTCAGTCTGAATATTTGCTACTTTCCTTTGTGACTCGCACAACAAATCACTCGTTATTCATTATAATTCTCATTATTCTGTTTAACACTTCATCTCCCTAAAGTGTGTTCCTGGCAACCCCTCTTGGAAACGATGTGTTAATTGAAACGTTTAGGTTAAAATAAGCTGGAGGAACAGACAGGAAGTTTATGTGGAACAGGGTCTGATTCTTCATGCCTCAGAGGGAGTCATAGCCACAAGTGGAAATCAAAGCAGACACGATCAAACTGAATGCTCCAGCTCATGTGATCTACATTAGTCACTGACCTTTTGTCACATATGGCACAAATTGTCTTCTACCTCCTAAACAATGACCGACAAACATCCCCTTGTTTGTAAAAAGAACTTAGGAAGCAGTACATTTAACATGATGTGGCCTTTTTTATTTCTAGTACTCATAGATATGTGCAGAATATATTTACTACCCCATGGACCTCTTCAGTGGTTAAAGGGATAGTCCATGTTTTTTGAAGTATTCAATGAGAAGGTTACAAACAATATCTTACCTGTTGTAGATGGCTTTTTGAACAATCTCAGTTTAGAGAAATGGTTTAATTCAAACAGGATTGACGAGCTAACGGCTAGTCTGAGTGGATAGCTCTTTCAAGTATCTATTAGCGGTTAGTCAGTATAAACCTTAACCCAACCATCCATTTCACTTTATGTGAAATGGTCATATTATTTCCACGTTATGCAAAATTCGCAGCAATGAAAACACTAAAATGTTTGAGATGAGTTATGGCCCCACTCAGATTAGCTGCTAGCTCATCTGTTTAGCCCAGAGTTCTGCAACCTGTGGTTCTTTGGTCCCTCTACTTTGGCTTTTTGAAAATCCTGCCGACAACGCCAATTTCTGTCGTCGCATGAAAGCAGAAACACGTTGGAATAATGCCAGAAAAGTCTGCGTGTATGGTCGTCATAAATGATTTAATTCTGAGCAACAGGCAAACAGGACTCAATCAGGAAGCCCTGTCGGCTTGTCGCTGACACGTCAGCGGACACAGCCAATAATATACACCATGATAACATCATATGATGTGCTTATAACCAATCACAGATCGCCTAATATATTTCCAGCCTATCACAGGGCTCCCAGCTCAAAGAGTGTCTTATCAAACAAGAGAGGTCAGTCCGTTGCGGAGTCCTGTTGTCTGGGCCAACACAGATTAACATTGAACAAGTGACACAGATAGATAATTAGTCCATAACATGACCAAACATAACAGAATTTTGTTTTTGTTTTTCATACTCACAATGAAATCATATTTGTATGCAAATGTGTCATCAATAATACAAAATGTAAAACACGTTAGCTCACGCTAACCTGTTGTTTATTTGAATAATCTTCTTTATATGATATTTCTCTCAAATCCATCAGAATTACCTTTAAAGAATTTGAAGACTACATAATAACAAGAATTAGGAAAAAAATTATATCTGAAAAGCTCAGTTGTACTAGTTTTTATGAAATTCGGTATAAACTATATGCATACATACATCTTTTCATTTGTCCTGATGTGTAAAAATAATAATAAATAATAAAATTCACAACATTTTTTAGTTTTACAATGTCACCTCCACTGGCCGTAAAGTTTCTCAAAAAGGCCTCGAAAAGGCCCATGGACCACCAGTTTATAATCAGAGGTGTAGCTTGTTTTCTGGCTCTGGACACATTTTATTAGTGCGACATATCAGAAATGGCTCTTTTGGTCATAAAGGTTGCAGACCCCTGGTTTAGCCAGAATGAAACTAGATTTCTCCACTCATGTTATTAAAAGAGCTGTCTACAGCAGGTAAGATACTGCTTGTTATAACATTATTGCAGATCACTTCAAAAGATCAGAATTATTGCTTTTATATTACAGAGTCAGTTATGCTTCTAAGAAGGAAGCTTTTAGAAATAACCAGATACAAAAAAAAAACATCATATTTACCTGAAATAATACGTTGAAGTTGAAACACTGTTTACTTGCTGTTTGTTTGTTTTTTTAAGATAGGTTGAAAATGTCCAGAAAATATGTTTGTAATTGAATTTTATTTTGGGATTGGCCAAGACCATAATAATTCACTGTTATTAGAGTGAAAGGAGGATTAGAATGAGATTAGTTTTTGCTCCGTATGAAAAGAAATGTTATTTCCACTCGTTCGGTCTGACAAGAAGGAACTGAACTAGAAAAAAACCCAAATTATAGGGAGATGTAAGTTCATGCAGGATGTTTTCTTCTTTATTTCTCATCTTTGTCCACTGACAGTGTTCAAAATACCCTGCTGTGAAATGTCTCATCATGTATAGCAGCATTTTTTCTTTGTTTCTTTGTTTGTTGTTGCTTTTTATTTGTACACCTGAAATTTCTTGATTTGATTTTGAGTCCAGGGTTTTTGTGGTTGCTACGTTTAACTGACCAGCCAGCAGATAATTTGAAACTGTATTTTCCCACACACAGGGACAGCCATCTTTTATCAACCAGCAGGTTGCTAAAAGGCGTTTATCATCTGAAATACAGAATACCAGCACTATATTGACTTTATGTGCACGGTTACAATTATTTATCTAACATACAATGACATCTTTTGTTTGTTTTATTTTTTTAATAATGCATCACAATGTATTTATTTATCTAACTGATTACTTGAAAATTTTTAGATTTTTTTTTTCAGCGCTGTTCTATATTGTTTATCTTGTCATTACCTTGAAATCAATGTGGCAGTTATAATTGTAATGACAGAACCTACGTTGATTTTTTTTTAAGTTTCAAGTGTAAAGAAAAGAATATTACCAATAATTGTTCCACACTTCTTATGAAGTGGCGTTTAAAACACATTGACTGTTGTAGTTTTAACTCTGTCATTTTGATTGAGGACAGGTTAAATGTGAAACTGACGAGAGATATCAGGGTTTCCCAAAGCTAATGTAAGTAAATAGATTTTTAACCTCATGTTTTATTTGCTGTGCTTTTTTTCTCTCCCCGTATCACCTAAAGTTAGAATGGACACATTTAATCAGACACACTGTGTGGCGTTACAGCAGAACGTTTGTGGGGGTTGGGAGGAGGTTTTTTGGCTGCTTTCTTCTTCAGGGCTCGCCACAACAGGTAAAGTCACCTGAATGAGGTTTGCGATTGTTTTATGCAACTTGGGCTCAAACGTGCAGATTCAGGATTGTCATTATAGGAGAACAGAATGGAGCCAAAACATGAAAACGTATTTAAAGTTCATAAAAAGTCACGACTTTCTAAATGTGCGTTAAAAATGCATCCGTAAAAAGTTAGATGAGCTTTATCTAGGGGAGTCTTAATTGTTGAAGGCTAGTTTGTTTATGGGGGAAAAGCAAGGACTTGCGCACACACACAAGTTTGCACAGCTATCTAATTGGGGACATTCCATTGACTTTCATTACATTTCTACAGCCTAACCCTGACCACAAACCCTAAGGCTAACCTCACCTGACCCTAAAACTAATCTAAACTCAATTCATACCTTGGTCCTAAACCCAACCCCCAACCCACCAATGGCATTTAAACCAAATGCGGACTTGACTTTTGTCCCCAAATGTACTAGTTGTCCCCAAATGTAGGACTTTTGTCTTAAAATTGCCCCCAAATGTCACCAAAGCTGAACCCACACATACACACACACACACACACACACACACACACACACACACATCCTCTACACTGAACAATATAAACGCCCCATGTCAGATATAAGAGTTTTATGAACATTTGGGTTACGCAATATATAGAGAAACTCAAAATATATTTTCAGTAATTACTGATCATCATATTGGCTTTGATAACATTGTGGTATGGCCATTTGAAGATGATTGACAGTCCTTTGAACATGACAGAGGTCAGGTTGAGGAATAAGATTTTTCAGTATCTTTTGTGTCCTCCAGCTGCATCTCAGAGCAACACAACTTCACCTGGAGTTGATCAGATTGTCTATGGTGGCCTATAGAATGTTATATCATTCCTCCTGGAGTGCCACGCGGAGCTGACCCACATTGCCTGGAACTGTAACACGTTCTCAGACATGCCTATCCAGAACATCCCAAAGATGCTCTATAACTTGCGACATATGAGACATTGTGACTTGTGACAAAATTGTACATTTTGGGGTGGCTTTTTATTGTCACCAGTCCAAAGATTATCCAGCTGTTGCTCATTTTGTCTGATCACCCACTGAACGTGCCCCACTCATGCACTGAGTAAGAAAACAAAAAAAAAACAACTCACTGAGTAATGCTTCCTGACAGAAAGTTGGATTAAAAATTATACACAAATCAAGAGAAATATTAATTTTGTGCAATGAAATATCAGCAAATGCTCATTTACAGTTAACTCCACATGGAAACACTATTTGACATGGGGCGTTTACATTTTTGTTCAGTGTATATTATCTATATTGATTTCCATTCATTTTTGTAAATGAATTTATGCCTAACCCATTTTCTCTAAACTGAACCAAAACTTAATTCACACCATAACTCTAAACATAACTACTAGACCACAGTAGAAGTGAGGACCACAGAAATGTCTTAACTTTGTTGGTTGAAAATGTTTGACGGTCCTCACTTTGTAGCAGAAACAAGTACACACACAGCCATATTAAACTTGAAAATTAAGTGTGTTTCAGCAAATAATGAATAAGTGAGAGAAACTGTTCCCTCTAATAAAAAAAAAAACCTGTTAGTTTGCTTCATCTTGACAGTAATTAAATATTCTAAAGTGGGGTTCTGTGTAAAGTTTATGAAAAGTCAGTGTCTTACCTGTTGTAGATGACTCCAATGACGATCACAGTTTGAAAAAACAAAGGTGAATTTGGACTGAACTGATGAGCTGGAGCAGGGCTATTCAACTAAATTGCTCAGGGGGGCACAGTTACTGTAGGTCAACAGTCAACAGCTCAGGGGCCGAACATCCAGCAATTAAAGTTATTAAACAAACCAAGTATTACAAAGATCGGTTAACTTCGAAATTGTTTATTTAGCTGTATTTAATCACGAATACAACATACAGAACCCTATAAAAGAAGTGATAATTAAACTGTATCAAAAACAAAAAAGTACACATTATGCCTCCTA